TTTCACAATTTTCTGAGTAAAGGGCATTTTGGGATTGAGATAATCAAGGGGCTGAGGGACCTGGGGAGATACATGGGCTTAACTAGCAGACCTGAATGTAAAACAAATGGTACCTGAAGACTGTAGGAGTCTAGCACCAGTCTTTTCTCAGGAGAGCTTCAGGAAAGGGCCTACTGGGGTAGCATCCCTAGTCCTGTCTTTTAATATGCCCCCCCCCCCCAAATCAGGGAATGAAATCAAAGGCAGTTAACTACTGAGTCACATCCCAAGTCCTTTTTTTTTTTTTTGGTGCTGGGGATCGAACCCAGGACTTTGTGCATGGAGGCAAGCATTCTACCAAATGAGGTATATCCCCAGCTCTCCTGGCCCTTTTTATTTTGACACAGGGAGTTGCTTAGGGCCTAAGTTGCGGAGGCTGGCCTTGAACTTGCAATCCTCCTGCCTCAGACTCCCAAAGCACTGGGATTACAGGTGTGTGCTACCACCTTGAGGGCCAATGAAGGCCATTCTTTTGTGATACAATGAAATGTACATTTTAATTACAAGCATTTTTGGAACCGTACTTGAACTAACCCCAGAAAGTTTTGCTATTTTTAAAAGAAATTAATCTCATAAGACTTTAAAGATTATTTTGTCTTCTCATCCAAGATTTAAACACCCTGACCCTCCATGGTCAATAGCAGTTAGTGATGAAGTTCCCACTGTTCTAGGAGCTATCACTGGGCCATAGTGTGCTGTGGGAAATGTCCCACCTCACTAGGCATGCACAGAGGGTACTTTTTGCCAATAGCAGATAGATTTGGGCTGGGTTACCCTCTTCCCAGTTTGTCTATACAGGGTTATAATTTGCACCTATGGGTCCACAGATGGGTCAAGTCCATCAGCTTGCCCTAACTAAAAACACCAAGGCAGAATTGTAGAATCCTTTCAATGATACTTGTTGAGATACTGGAATGAAATATGCTTTAGATTTTGTGTGTGTGCAGACAGTTGAGCTGCATTTCTAGAAATTGTTTCTTTATCCTGAAAACAGGTTTAATCATTTATAAGGGGGAAACCAAGTGTTTAAGAAATTATAACTGATAGAGCAGTACATGTTTTACTATGTACATTCTTTTTCCAAATGTTCCCTCTAGTTCCAAATTAACAGATTTTGAGCATACCATCCCTTTCATCTGTTTTGTCACTGGTTGTTAGTCTGCTCATTCTAAAGGTTAACAAGGAATGCTCCCCAACCTTTCCACTGGCCATAACTTCTCACTCCTCTGTGTATCCTCAAGTCTTTGTGAATAATGAATAATGGAAACTCTGCCTTGTATTATTCCAGTTGTGGATCTGTATCTTGAACTTGATGATCTCCTTAAGGGCACCCAAGCTCAAGCTCAGTGAGCCCTGGATAGCACAACTGCACAGTAAATTTCAACTCTGTTGACTACAGTGTGCAGTAGATCATATTGTGACTCCCCCCCACCCCCCAGTTCTGGGGTATAGAACCCAGGGCTTGTGCATGCTAAGTACTGGCTCTACTACTGAGCTACACCCCCAACCTTTGACCCACTTTTCACTGCAGGTTGCAGGCCTAATTTATAAATTCTAGACCACAAATAATACAGAAGAGCTTTTGCTGGGCATGGTGGTACATGCCTGTAATGCAGCAGTTGCAAAGGCTGAGGCAAGAGGATCACAAGTTCAAAGCCAGCCTCAGCAACTTAGTGAGGCCATAAGCAACTAAGTGAGACCATAAGCAACTTAGTGAGATACTGACTTAAAATATAAAAAGGGCTGGGGATGTGACTCAGTGGTTAAGCGCCTCTGGATTTAATCCCTTGTGCCAAAACAAAAACAAAAAAGCAAAACAACAACAAAAAAAATCTTTCTTGCTGGGAATATAAGTCACTTGTGAAAAATTTAAAGTAATTAGTTTTTGGTAGCCTGTTTTACAGCTAGACACAAGTAAGACTAACCTCATTTTCTATGTCATCAACAAATATGCAATTTCTTAAATAGAGCTGCCTGTCAACTTAAAACAGCATTTCTGAGATCCAGAAGGTGTAAAAGAGGAAGAGATAGGATGAGCACATAGAGATAAACCTGTCAATTCCCTTCTGCTTTATAAGAAATTCACAAATGTCCATGTAAAAGTCCAACTCCAAGTCTGTTTAATGTCTAGTTCACAGATCATAAATATGACTTTGTGGCTCTAGCAGTCTACAGATCTTGTGGTGTTAGGTGACTCTTAATTGTACTTTCTTTCCTTTTCACCTGCATGGATGACTGAACATTTATTTTCTGCCTGGCTTTATTTTATTTCAGAGAAATATTTCTGTTGAGAATCAAATGAGACACCAAGGCAATGAGCTATAAAAATGCAAGATACCCTTTCTAAAAAATTTTTTAATATATATTTTTACTTGTTGATGGACCTTTATTTTGTTCATTTACTTATATGCATTGCTGAGAACTGAACCCAGTGCCTCACATGTGCTAGGAAAATGCTCTACCACTTGAGCCACAACCGCAGCCTGCAAGATATCCTTTTTAAAAGGATAGTTAAAAATCAAGACACTAAAAAGGTTCACACATACATCGCTGGTGCGATTGCAAATTGGTGCAACCACTCTGGAAAGCAGTATGGAGACTCCTCTGAAAACTTGGAATGGAATTGCCCTTTGACCCAGTTATCCTACTTGTTGGTATATACCCAGAGAACTTAAAATCAACATACCACAGTGATGTAACCACATCAATGTTTATAGCAGCTCAATTCACAATAGCTAAGCTACAGAACCAACCGAGGTGCCCTTCAACAGATGAATGAATAAAGAAAATGGGGTATACACACACAATGTAATATTACTCAGCTATAAAGAATGAAATTGTGGCATGTGCCGGTAAATGGATGAAACTGCAGACTATCATGCTAAATAAAATAAGCCAATCCCCCCAAAGCAAAGACCAAATGTTCTCTCTGATATGCAGATGCTAACACTCAATAAGGTGGGGGAGGGAAGAATAGAAGTTCATTGGATTAGACAAAGGGAAGTGAAGGGAGCAGAGATGGTTAGGAAAGACGAGTTGGACATAACTTTCCTATGTTCATATATGAATATACCACCAGTGCAACTCCATATCATGTACAACCACAAGAATGGGAACTTAATCAGAATAAGTTTTACTCCATGTATGGAGTAATGTCAAAATAGACTCTACTGTCATATATATCTAAATAGAATAGAAAAAAAATCAAGAGACTAAACTAAATGTCAACTTATCACATGATGGATGTCCTGTTGATCCATCATGTAGGGAAGACAGGCCACTAACTAGTCATGAGAACCACTGTCAAAATGGATTTTGAATAACCAGCCCCTAAAACACTATGGAGGATAATAATTCAGAAAACTTAAAAAGTCCTAGTCTTATTGTTACAAAACTGAGAAACTCATTAAAGAAAAAAACCCAAAGCCAACCAAGAACAGAAATTTAATCAAAATTAAAAGCTACAAAACACACTGACACTTTTTGCAAAGTCCTGCTTTAAACATCAAAACTTTTAGCTGGGGTGTAGAGTGGGTGATTAGCAAGTATAAGGCCCTATGTTCCACCCCCAACATAAAAAAAAAAAAAAATAACAGAGTTAACAGGCACAGATGCAGCAACAAAGATTGAGCAGTAAATATAAAATAGATGCTAAATTACTGAAGTAGCCTCAAATTCCCATGGAAATAAAACTTTTTCCTAAACCTTCTTTAAAGGGTATGTTTCCTGAGGCCACTCCTGCTAAGTGCCAGGAAGACAGGCACAGTGAGGTATTTTTAAACAGAGGGATTCAATACAGGGAACTAGTTGCACAAGTGTCAAAATGCTAAGCTGACAAAAAGGGAATGCCAAGGTGACACAGCAATTAGTAACTGAAGGCAACAGTTACTACCCCCAGGGCTCAGGGAACAAAATGAAGAGGTACTGTCAAACTTTGGAGCTCAAAGGAGTCTTGTGAAACTGCATTTCTGGAGAGGGGGGCTCAGACTGAGGGGGCAGGGTCAAGGGGTACAGTACACTAAGAAGGGGACACTAAGGAGGTGCTAGGATGGCCCAGCGGGTGAGATAGTGAGGAGCCCAGATGCTCAGCAAGAATGGAGTTGGGGGTTCCACAAGAAGCTAGATTCTAGGGCCAAAATGGCAAGCAAGTCTCTTCTTCCCTCCCAAATTTCTGGAGTTTCTTCCACCAGCAGATTTTAACCAGGAGAACAAGAGGGCTTTGCAAACATGGTCAATGTCACAGCCCCAACGTCACGAGGCTTGGAGGTGAGATAATAAATAACTGGCACGATCAATGATCAAAGTTGTTGATGATAAAGGTACATACATTAAAAAAAATTTTCTTGAGGACACTACACACATACACTGATTTAAGTGTATGATTCAGTGGCATTAGTCTATTCACACTGTTGTGCTACCATCACAACCATCCATCTCCCAAAATTTTTTCATCTTTCCCAACTGAAACTGTGCACCCATCAGACACCACTTGCAGCCTTTCCCTCCCTGCAATCGCTGGCAATCATTATTCTTCCTGTCTCTATGAATAGTACTACTCTATACACCTTTCAAAAGTGGAATCACATGGTATTTGCTTTTCTGATATTGGCTTATTTCACTTCACATGTCTTTAAGGTTCAGTATAAATCACATTTCATGTATCCATTACTCTTTCGATGGACACATGAGTTATTCCTTCCTTTTGGCTACTGTGAATAATGTTGTGGACCTTGGTACAAATGTCTGTTTGAGACCTGATGAGTTCCTTCCGAGTACACACCCTAGAGGCTGAGTTGCTAGATCATATATAGTTAACACATTTAACCTTCAAGACTGTTTTCCACAGTGGAGGATGCCACACTTTTCTCATTTAAAATTTTAAAAAATATGTGGAGTTTGTGAAGAAAATTATCATATAATATGCGTTAAAATTAAATTATAAAGAAATGTGGCAACTCAACTGTCATTCATAAATACAAAATTTTATTTGCACTTCATTAGTGTAGAAAGACCACAATGCTTCTCATACCACAACACTCAGGACACGCCAAGTTATTCAAATACATACTTACTTATTTACCTTGACTAAACACAACAGTGCAGTTTAATAAAAGATATACCAAAGATAGAGTTCACAAATTCATTATCAGACAAAGAAAAAAAAATTGAAAAAAACCAACCAAACAAACAAACAAACAAAAAAACCCAACAAATATTGAATACAGTCTATGCTTAATAGGAATAGGCTTCACCATAAAGGGGAAAAGTTTCATCATTACAAAGATACAGGATGTTTAGGCTAATACATGTATGTTCTTTGATATAATAAAATGAATCTCTTTAAAATTCCTTTAAACAGGATTTGTTTAGGACAGCAGCGTTGTTTTAAAATCTTTTTTTTTCTATAGTTTCAAAACACTTCTTTATTGAATTTTTGTCTTTCTTAAAATCATAGGATACATCTATCAGGAAACCATGAGAGATTCTGTGGCCTCAGGACCAAGTCAAATCCAACCCTCTAGCTAGGAATATCCTATCATTACAGAACATTAATAAATAACCTTCAACAACAGCTATGAGTGGAGCTTTGCTTTGTGGCAGAAACACTCCAAAGATGCTACAGCTGGGGAAATGTCTTGTAAATAAAGAAAAAAGCACTTAACGTAGCTTTTTTTTTTTTTTTCCCTCAAAAAGTCTTTAGTTTTACAAATTTTCTTTAAAACAGTAAGCAAAGCACCACATTCTCTCTTCTTATCAGAATATCTTCTGTCCTCATAGTATAATTAACAAGGACAATTATATTATTTAAGAAACATTATACTTTTCTTCTCTCCCATTCTTCATATTAGAAGTACTATGTTTCCCAGTGTATGTACACTAGACACTGGGGCTATGAATGAAATATAATTTGGAGGGAAATATGTAATTTATAACCCAAACTTACCCAGGATTGCATATTTGCATATTTACAAGTTAGTGTATAGCTCTGACTTGGAATACAAAGTGCGAAAGGAAATTGTCAAAATGATTGTAGTGCAGAATAGAATGTTTTTTCCCCTTTTCAGGAATCATTTCCACCTTGTTTCAAAGTAGCAAATCAACAACATCGGACATGCGGTCTTGGTGGAGGCAATTCTGGCGGGATTTCAGGTTCTGGTTGTAATGAGAGAATGCTATTGGACAACTCATTCCTTAAAATATCCAGAGGCATCTAAAGGGTAATGAGAAACACAAATACATTTTAACCTTATAAGAGGTAAATGTTTTAAAAATTGTATAATTATATTTTTTAAAAAGTGTTTTATAAACTCTCTGAAAGGAGCCATAGGTGCAGATCTATGGTAGAGTACTTGCCTAGCAAATGTGAGGTCCTGGGTTTGATTCCTAGCACTACAAAAATAAGTAAGTAATAAAAATAAAAAATAAAACTGTAGTATAAAGCTCTATGATCATCAAAGGTCAATTAGACAAACAAAATGAAAACCTAGTTCAGGGCACTCCAAGTCACAATACGAACACTGCCCAGTTTATTTCATACCACATGGCAGGAGAGACCTGCAACCTCAACACTTACTTTCACAGAACACAATATGATGAAAACTTACATTTTTTAAAAATAAATAAAATAAATGGTCTGCATTCAAAAAGTTACATGCTTACTAAAGAAAGTAATAGCCTCTGTTGGCAATTACATAAAAATCACTGTATAAGAAATTTCTGAATTTTTGAACTGAAAAATTATAATTGTTGGTATCTACAGATAAATTGAAACTTGAACTGAAAATATTTGAAAAAAAAATTGCACCTGTAATGAATATGCAGATTTTTTTTCCTTTTCATTGTTCCCTAAATAGTACAAACTAATTTACTGGGGTTTATTTTGGTCCTCATTGGTAAATTTCAGAATTATTTAAAAAAGCATACTCAACAATAATTTTCCTCTCTATCAGATACATCATCCATAGCAATAATTTTGGAAGATTTTTATCTAGAAGAAAAATCTGTTGAAGATAAATGCTGAATATGTGAAGTTTCTCATGAAAACCTTGCATAGCACTAACAATGAATTAAGAATCATAATGATCTGAGATGATTTAAAGTATATGAGAGGCTATATGTATGTTCTATGCAAATACTACGCTGTTTTATATAAAGGACTTGAATATCCATTGAGTTTGGTATCCTCTGGGACCCTAAAACCAATCCCTAGTAGATGCCAAGGTGTAAACTGTATGAATAGATTTAAATACTTACTAAAAACCTTTAAATACAAGTCTACAAATGCCTGAAAAAAATACGGCTGCTCAATAAAGCTGTCAAACATTATTTCCTTGCAACCCAGCATTACCAAAAGGCCTCCTATAGGAAGTGGGGCGCCAAGAGAAAACAAGTGCCCGAGGCTCTCCTCAGCAAGGAAGTCTGTTCTAGGTCTCTACCGTCAATATGGAACTTAATTCTTATAGAAAAACAAGAAAAAAGAAAAGCAAGTGTCAAGCAATCATGGTACTTAATTCATTCACTTGCAGTGCTGGGGATGGCACTCAGGGCTTTGTGCATGCTAAGCAAGTCCTCTTATCACTGAGCTATACCACCCTCCCAGCCCCACATTCTTTATCTTATTTTTATTCACTTTTACAGTGCTAGGGAAGGCCTAGCACTGGGTCTCATGCAGGCAAGACAAGTTCTCATCTACTGAGCTGCAGTCAGTCCTTCCTCCTCCTGGCATAATTATTCTGCCTTGTATAAGTCATTTCAAAGATAAGCAAAAATATTGTTCATCAATCCTAAGGACACCAAAAACCCCTGGATGGGAAACAGCTACACAGCAAGCTGTCTGTGCTGGTTCCTGAACCCTAGGTTCAGGAACCAGCACAGACAACTACTGTACTTTTGTTTCTAAATAAAACATTTTTCAGCAAATTAATAGCAATAAAGGAAACAACAGGTTTTAGATGAAAAAATTAATAGCAATAAAGGAAACAACAGGTTTTAGATGAAAAAAATAATAGCAATAAAGGAAACAACAGGTTTTAGATGTCATATTCCTTTTTACCTTTTTCAGAATATCATCAACAAGTTTCAGAAATATCTCGTCCACATTGAAGTTGTCCTTGGCACTTGCTTCACAGAACCGCATCCCAGTTATCTGCTGTGCAAACTGAGAAGACACACGTAATCTGTTTTCTCTGTGTGAAGTACAACATGGACCAGTGTTTGTGCATTAGGCCCAGCTTCTGATGGGCAGTCATAGCCTTTGGGCTTCAGCTTTAAGGGAAGCAGGGACTCAAGGTCTGTAAAGACCCATTTATGCTCAAATGTTAAGATCACAAGTGCAGCAAATTCCTACATTATAACACACACACACACACACACACACACACACACACCAAACCCAAAATCCCTGGGATGATATTAGGACATTTAAGTTGAATTATATGCCTAAGGTTCTAAAAATATAATGTATCTGGTATTTAAAATGAGAATATCATTTCTTCTCCATGATTGAATCCCTAGCAAAAGTTAAAGAAGTTAAATACAAAAAAGTTAAATACACTAGAGTAATAAGAAAATCATGAAAGCAATTTTATAACATAAAAACGTTTTTTTTTCTGAAAAAAATGTCAGTTTAGGTAATAATGCAAGTACATAATAACATGCTTTATTTTCTCCTCCACTTCAAAATGAATTTAAAGGAGTGGATACAAGAAAAAAAGCAAACAAATGAGAAAGATGTGATTCAGTGACCACTACTTGATAATTATTTTGTAATTTAAAAGATTATGCAATTTATGAAAAAACAGTAAGATGCAGAATGCGGGAACCATGGCTTTCACCATTTTCTTACCTTTTCACCTTGTTGTCTGGTGATTTCTCTGTCCGATTCACAGTCCAATTTATTTCCAACTAAGAGAAGTTCAGCGTCTTCTGAAGCATACTGTGGAATTTCAAAGGTGGGTACTATCATACACTAACAAAGCGAGGGTAAACTGGCACAGTATTTGTCACTCATTTACTTCTGTGCTCATTTCCTTCCATTGTTTATTAGCACCTCCTGAGCCCTAGGCAGGCCTGGTAATGGACAGAGCTCACAGAATTTTAGAAAGTACTTTGATGACAGGCTTCCAAACCACCATGCTCTTGGCCTTTGACCTAACATTTCCCAAGACTCTGTCTTAGGAAATGATTGGAAAAATTGGCCACACTTAAAATGGTCATCAACTGAAAAAGACCTAGAGTTCAACAAGATGGTTTAAGAATGAAACAAAACACAGTCGTTCAAGCAAAAACAAAACCCTATGCGGGCTGGGGATGTGGCTCAAGCGGTAGCGCGCTAGCCTGGCATGTGTGTGGCCAGGGTTCGATCCTCAGCACCACATACAAACAAAGATGTTGTGTCTGCCGAAATTAATTAATTTAATCATTAATTCATAATCAGAAAAAGTCAAGACACATTTGTAAAATTTCTAAAATATTTAGGCCCAACAAATTTCTCTCTTTAAAAAGGTTAAAATACTGAGTAACTCATTTAAATTTTGTGTATTCCTAAAATTATTTGAACAGACTACATCAAAAGACATCTGAATTGTGTTGCCTTGGCAAGTTGCTTGGCCAAGTAAAGGTATCAGTACTTAGCACATAGTGAGCACCCAAGGAATGACAGCTCTTGTACAATGGTAAAGTGCAAAACTTCTGAACCAAAGAGACGTGAGCATCGGAGCTCAAGTTCTTGGCAGATTCACACCTCCAGTACCTAAAAGGGCCCTTAGGATTTAAGGCATTTCTTCCTTTATATTTCTTTTTTATATTTTTTGGCTGTACTGGGGATTGAATCCAGGGCTTTGTGCATGCTTAGCTAGGTAAGTGCTCTATTACTGAGCTCCATCCCCAGGCCTTTTGAATTTGAGATAGGGTCTCACCAAGTTGCCCAGACTGGCCTCAAGCTTGCAATCCTCTTGCTTTATCCCATGAATGGCCATGAAGTTTCCTTATGCACATGCGGACCATTGCCTTAAATCACTCTGCTGCTTTATCTCCCAAATATCCCCAAACCATATCCCCAAGAAGGCAAATTAAGCCTAGGGTCTGCTCCTTCAGGCTTAGTCTTTTGCAAAACTTGTTTTAGTGATCAGCATACTGTGTGGCTGACAAAATGGGCTGGTTGGGTATTACTTGGGTATAAGGAGAACTCAGTCTCCAGTGACCAAGGCCAAGTGTGGAATGAGCTGAGGGCAGGCACCCCACCTAGGTCTGCTTTATGTTTTTAAGTCTAGTTCTTTAACACATTTCAAAGAGGTACACACTGAAAGCTAGAAACGAACATTCTTCATCATCAATAAAACTATAGACAAAATACAACTGGGTTTCAATATAATTTGTACATAAAATCTGAATTTGTAATAGGTGTGCTAGTGACATAAAGGAATTAAACACATCAAATTATTGCTTAAGGGGAAGAAAACCCTCAAATTGTGGTCAGTTCCATACTAACACATCTTAACCCAAACTGCTCTTTTTTCTAAATGTGCATTTGGGGTACACATCTCCCAGAGAAAATGTGATTTACATCAATTATGCAGACACAGGTCTTCTGTATATAGTCAATCATGAATCAAAGGAAAAAAATCTCTTGATCAAAAAGAGAATCCAAAAGATATCTACAATCCCAAGGGCAGATGTCCAGCTGAGGCCCCAGGACAGCCCACAGGCACCATGAACAAGGCCATCTCCTCAAGTGCAGGAAATGAGCATCTAACTAGCCTTTCTGCAGAAACATGTATCCAATGCCATGGAAACAACTGTGGACAATAGATTGAGCATGTTTGGGCTTTAAAATCAGAGTCCAGTGTACCAAATGAAAATCCTAGTTTTATTATTTATCAGCTGATTCTGCATAATTTAGATCTTCACTGATTCATCTATCACATAGTACTAAATACCTACCTGAAGGTTATGATATGAATCAAATGATGTTTATTTTGCAAAATCATGCTCCCTCCTTGTGTTTCCAGCTTCTTCCTTTCACAATTGATACCCACAAACAGAATTCACATTGGACAGAAAAATACAACATATACCTTATCAATCATCTTCATCCATTTTGGCAAATCATCAAACGTCTCCTTCTTAGTGATATCATATACTAATATGATCCCCTTGGCACTTCTGTAATAAGCTGAGGTAATGCTGTTGAATCTCTCCTGACCTGCTGTGTCCCTAGGAAACAGCAGCAAAAATCAGTTCCCAAACAACAGTGAAAGCAAGCAAATCCACATTCCAGCACAAATATGGATTCTGTTCCTGTTTATTTATGAGGAAACATGAGAAACATGCCTATCTCCCCACCCCCCCCCAGTCAGCAGGAAAAATTCAGGCTGACTTAACTATATGAGATACAAGGTATATCTGCATATGCATTAACTAAATCGGATGCATGGAGCTGGATTATGAAGCAAGATCAACAAACTATGTAGAATAACCTTCTTTGAAAAGTCAGAGAATCAGCCACAGGAATGTTATATACCACAATCAAAATATGTGATCATTTATTTTTTTCAAAGTGAAACATAGGAAATGAGCTTTTTAAATATGGAATTTACAAAGCAATTTCCAATAATTCATCATTCCCCATTTAAGATCATGCCCTAATTTCTATCTTTTTGTGTCTGACTTTGAATAGTTGAGGTGGAAAAGCATGTTCCTTTAAGGAACTATTCCATATTCCCAAAATATTTGGGGTGAGAAAGTCTTTATTTTCTATTTCTCTCAAAAGCATCTTTACTTATTTCCTTTGAACACTAAATATGTTATCATGTATGGTCAAAGGATTGGGTTAAAGAAATGCTTCCATTCAACAATTATTTGTTGCATCATAAAAACTCCACAAAATTAAATTTAAATTTCAAAAAATTAAATTATTAAATTTCAAAAAATTTAATAACAAGGTAAAGCACTAATTATGCCTCTGTCATTCTGTGAAGATAGAGAATCTTAATATTTGTGTTCTTTATCTCCATGAACTTGAATTTTCACAGAAATGATAAAAAGCTGATTTATATAAATATGCAGTTTACTGATGCAGCTAAATTATCATTCACTACAGCCAGCAATTTCCAAATTGAAACCTCCTGCAATTCTGTTTTCCCAGTTTGGTATATAACAATGCTTAAACAATGCATGTAAGTGATACAGTTACTAATTTACAGGGCAAAAAATCAATTTTAGCTATAAAATGTTCTACTTCTTACAAGCAGAGAATTAACTGATGCAAACCTAAGAACACCAGTTGAAGCAAAATTTCCCAGCAGTGAAGATTGGGCTGATAGGATGAAGCATTTTAATCCTATGTAGGAGACTATTTTATGGCTTTGATCCATTTAAACAATGACTCCAAGTTCACTGTGAATAATTTCCAAGAGAGTATTTGAATATAAATTCATGAAACTATATCCTAGTCAAGACATTTTAGCAACACTTACATTCAAGTTCTTATGTACACTCATGTAGAAATACTTCTCTAAAGATTAGAAAAAAATGGCTCTTTTTTGACCATAGATAATCAAGGAACTGAAAAATGTGGCAATGACAAAATGTGACATAGAACTGTGACAAAGACAATGGCAGCTTTGGGTACTTAAACCTTTAGGGCCCTCTCTATAGTGCATATTTTCTAAGATGGGCTATAAACAAAAATGAACAAGAAAAAAATGCATTTGTTCTAACAAGCCCCTCTGAAAACTGATAGGTGATATGACTGTGGTGGTCCCGTGTCCCCTTGAACTGTTTCTGCCTCTAGTGACTGCTTCCATGCCCTCAACTAATGACAGTGAAACACAACCACACAACTGCACCAAACACGTTACAACAGCACAAGGATTGCTCTTTTCTCCAAAATAAGCCATGTATACAGGTCAAGCATCCCTGAGCCAAAACTTCAAGCTTAAAATTCCATATCTGACCTCAAGTGACAAATAGTAGTCAAAATGTAGGCATACTAAAAATAGTGTTTAAAATTACCTCCAGGCTATTATGGTTAAGGTGTATATGAAACATAAATAAATTTCATGTTTAGAACTTGCATCCCACCTCCAAAGCATCTTATTATATTTATGCAAATGTTACGAAGTCCAAAACATTTCTGGTCCCAAGCATTTTGAATAAGAGACAATCAATCCATATTTTAAATAAGTAAAAAAATGATAACCATGATTCCAATATCTCCTTTTAATCTATTGCACAGCAAAAAAAGAAGAGAAAGATTTTTTTCCCCCTTTGTTCTTTTTTGCAGTGCCAGAACCTTGCACATGCTAGGTAAATTCTCTACACCAAACTACACCCTAGCAGGTTTCTTTCATCTTTTAAAGAAAACATTTCAGAAGATTAAAAAAATAATCTTATTTTAAGTAATTATATGATTAACAAAGTGGTTGGAATATTGTGGACATATGATTCACTGTTGAAAACCCCTTCAGGAAAAGACAAGTCCTACTTCCTAATTGAATCACTGGAATATTCCATGTAGAAAACTTGAAAATCAACCTTTCAATAAATCCAATGCATCATCTCATTGTCCCTCCATCCATTATTCTTTACCAATGTCATATTGACAGCTGATAAAGCTTGAGGAGTGAAGAGTCAAGAGGGAAGCAAGAGAGTTGTTTTTGAGAATGTTTTACATTCAAGGGAAAAGCAGTCTGAGTGCACCATGTGGTCCTGGAACCCCACCATCACTCTCTTCTCTGTGGACTCGAATTCCCTAAGGAGGGCCCACCTAGGTCAGTCAGAGGCACTGCCGCCAAACTCCAGATGTATGCAGTGCCACCAGTACAGTGTTGGTGGGTACAGGTCCAGGAAAGCACCTTCGCATTTCCATATATTTTGATGGGCAGCAATGTACAAGATAAACTTTGCTGCCTTTTCAGGGGCTAGAATATGATATAACTACTTTTTATTATTCACTATTAAGCTTAGACTTTAATGTTGCATAATCCAAGTCTAAAACAAAAACATGAGACAAAATAAAAGCCCCAAACTCCTAATGTGGGTTATGGAGTTGCAGATATCTAAATGAAGGTATTACCTCAGATACTCGGAAGGCGACCAATGCTGGCTCAGCTCCAGCAGTGCCCCAGACAGGGACATGGATGAAGGATGGAGACATGGCACTAACATTCAAGCGTTAGATGACCGGCGATGCCACAGATGAAGCAGCGATTAACGAAGATGAAAGCAAACACACACAGATGGTGGACAGACAGTCAGAGCTGAGGGTAACCTGCCGAGAGGAGTTAGTAAGCTGAGTGTACTGCATAGGCATCATGAAAAACACAATGGCATCCTCGGCACAGCTCAGCCGTGCCACTTCTCAAGCTCCCATGACCAGAGCCTATCCTTTCTTCCAGAGAGGTCTCTGGCAATCTGAAATACTTCTGAACGCTACCCTTGGGCTGGTAATAGAGAAGGGAAAGATGTGAGTGCTAGACATAGTTAAAATGCAGCTGGTGTGGTCTCTCATTCTGATTTGAGCTGAGAAAGGAGCTTCTCTTCAGGAAGGGCCTCTGGATTCACTTCTGGCAGGCAGAAGGGCCACCTGCAGGACAGCTAGAAGGGGTATGCCTGTGCACAGCCCCACCCTGAACAGTTCCCAGGTGATGTGCCTTCACCTCCTGCCAATCTGGTTGTGAATATAGTGGGCTCTCTTTGAATACTACCACACAAAATAAAGACATGAAGACATGCATTTGAACAATGATGTAAGTGATGGCAGTTTTGAGATCATGTCAAATGATTTAAAAACAGAGGTGTAAAGCTCCCAACTAGCTCTCATGAAAGCAACACAATGCCTCATGTGTAAATGCAGTCTGAAATAAGTAGATGCTGCTAAATTCTCCCATGAAGGAAGTGCTATTCATCTGATTTGACAATGAGCAAAGAAGCAGAAAAGTAGGGGAGGTGAGCCAGCTCACACAGTTCATTTTAGTAGACAAGCGTGTGGATTGTTAAATACACACGGCACATTACTGGGGCATACTCTGCCACTTACCAGATCTGCAATCGAATTTTCTTTCCTCTTAGCTCTACAGTTTTGATTTTAAAGTCAACACCTGTAAATTAAACAAATAAATGTGAAGAAAAACAAGAAAGAGACAATTTATCATTTTCAAAAAATCCTATTTGTTTTGGTATCATTACCACAGAAATAAAAGAACCAGTATCACAAAGTTCAAGGACAGGGCAGAAATGCATGAGGATCTGCAATTCCAGGTAATCCTCATGTTCTACACACAACTGGCAAAGTCAACACCTGTTGTGTTTCTTCTGAACCATCTATTTAGCATCTGTTCAGAATATAACTTATGACTACCACAATTCAGCATAAAAGTCATTTAAAAATCATACTTAATAATTACATAAGCAAATGGTGCTATCTTGAGGAAATTTCCCATAGGGAACACTGGAAACAACCTGGATTTCAAACAGCCTTTTGGAAATCATCATACTAAAATTTTCAACACTCACAAAACCTTTGGTGACTATCAACATGATTTATTTATTTATCCATAGAAGGAGGGAGAAATTGTTATTAAAATTTACTTATACAAATTAACATCAAATTTAATTTGTATTCATTTTAATATTTATTAATCAAACCATCATGTATCATCTTCCTTTTTTAATTTGGCCCATTAAAATCAAATTTTTATTTGTATTTGTTTGTATATGTTACCTTACATGCCTTTTGGGTATAGAAGACTTACATATTTTGAGATTTTTTTTTTAAACAAAATTTTCACAACTAAGAAAAACAAAGGGGATGCTGGCTAAATGTGAGCACTAGAAACATTCCCTCCTTCCTGATAGCTTCCTAAGGGGATGACTCCAACCACTGACAGGTAGGTGGCCCATATGTGACAGTGGTGTGGTAGCAGCAGGAAGCATGGGAACCCTGCCTGTTTCTTGACCCTTCATTTCTGAGACATGAGGCAGCAGTAGTCAGATGAGTTCTAGGTGAAGAGAAAGCCATGTGACTGATTTTATAATTAGTAACACACTGTAGATATCAGTGCCAACCAAAGACATGTTTATAGCCCTGTGGGTGAAGGGGAGGCCCTAGTCTGTACAATAAAGAAAAGCTGTACAAATATGAAACATCACAAGAAAACAAGCTACAAGACTTGAATACATTTCAATTCTTAATCCCTCATACCAGACACAATTTCAAATGCCACTGGACAAAGCTGATTAACTCAATTTCACTCTCATTTCTGAAGCTGATTTGCTTTCCAAAGTCAAATGACAGATTGTGTTGAACCTAGAAGTGGGTCTATGTACAACTAATATCTTTGAACAGAGTTCCTTAACCTTCACCACAAGGGAACAAACAGCAAACTTCAAAATGATGTCTCTCAGACTCAAGTAACGGTGAGGAGACATCATTATGTTCTACTTTTAAAGGTACAGCTGAATGACAAAACACTGCCTGCATGATATTAACCTAAAGATTTCTTTGCTGCCCTATTACTTTGCAATGGAATTAACAAATCAAATTCATATTATTGCAACTACTATCCTATTGCCCCTTTATTTCCAGATAACTTCAAATGGGTTTGTTTTTAAAATTTCCGTTAAGAGAACTCTAACTTTTAAAAAAACTTGTCACAGTGACTGCTACCTTACTGAAAAGAATTGGCAGGTGATACCTCTTTTAGTCGGCTTCCAATCAACCAAGAGAATCCCTGGAGATCTCCAGAGTGGGTCCATGGGGTTTTGATTATGCCTTTTTCTCTGCTAAGAGTTGTTGAATACTCACAACCAACATGAACCACTTATCAATTTTCAGCAGTCCTACATGAGGATTATTTTTGAAACCACAAATGAATAAAAATAAAATGACATGGCATTAATGTTCAAAATCAGGAAATAAACAAAGGTAAAAAGAATTATGAGTCTGTTTAGCCAGCATGAAGACTATCTAGTTTAAGTGAGTAGATTAAAGACAATAACATCACCACCAACAAAATACCCAGCGGCTAAGTCCAAAATTCCATAAAAGAAAACAGCACATTAAAATACTCCTAACCACCCCTAATAATGTGTAATAATTGAAAACTTGATCCAATTTATGGCTTGGAAACATACCTTTGTATCACAGCCAAACAATTCTAAAAATCTTTTTACATCAAAAATATTTCAATGTTACCTATTTGTAATATTTGCATGTCATAGAAATGGCCTCAAATATTTGACATCAGCTTTAGAAAAGGTCAGCAGAGACAGCCCCTCACTGGGGAGCAACTCCTAGGATATTTAGGGATTCAAGGGTGTGGCTCAGTGGGAATCCTTGGGTTCAATCCCTAGCACAGGTTCCCCTCTCCCCCCTCCTCCCCAAAAAAGACAAAAGCAAGGGATGAAAAGGTTGTGACCTTAATTGTATCTATAACCTTGTTAAAAACCCAGTGTTCTACAGGCTTCTTAACTAACAGGATAGCGAGTAGTCTCTGCCACCCTATCAGTCAATGGGAATAATTCCCAAAAAGCTTAGTCATACTGAACTAAATTAATATACCATACACTTGGCCATTAACTACCTTTCTCTGCTGTTCTCTCTTCTTAGGGCACCTCCTTGTCTGCTCAGAAATCTTTTTAAATCCTAGATTTCCCACTGGAATCATTCTCCATCCACCAGTAAGCTCTCACTCTTCATCTATATCCCCAGCTTGTGAATCTGCACTCTTCTAGGCCTTACTGCATGGATCCTTCATTGGCCTCCCCTACTGAATATGTGCACTCTGAGGATAAGCCATCTTTGGCCCCTGAAGTGTAGGATATTGCCTGGTGTTCAACAGCAACCCAATGGATTGGATAAATGGTCGCCAACTCCTACCCCAGCACCACCCTCTCCATCAAATGCTATATATACACAGAAAATGCTAAGCATTTTTAGAAAAATTAAGAAAATTCAGGACTGATTAATTTTAAAAAGGCATGATATGGAGACAGGTTGGACAGGTAGAATGGAATAGTGAATGCAGAAATGTCTTTGTGTATAGACATTATTTCATTTCTCATAATCCTTGAAAGGAAGGGGCTATCTTAATTAACAGGCTCATCCTTTCCCTATGTACCCTTATCCCCGTGGATTACCATTTCATCACTTAGATGAAGTAGTGATCCACTAGCAGATTATTCTGGTAACAGGAGCTTACCTTTCTTTAAGCTTACCTATTTTATGGAAGCCTTTATTATGTTTTAATGAGCTTCCAGAAAGGACCCAGGTTATGGTGTTATCATCCCTGTTATCAATGGACTTAGACTGCTGTATTTGAATCAGTATGACTTGTCTTTGACCTTAATTTCCTTAAGCAATAAGGACAATGGATATCTGTTAAGCACTCTGTCTTGCATTCAACCCAGTCAATACTCCCACAGCCCAATGAGGGGGGCACTATTACACCAGGGCAGAGACTGTAAGTGGTAATTTGCCTGTGGTTAAAGCAAATACTAGCAGAACAATAGAATCAACATTCAAGTTTATACCACTGCTCACAATGAAAAGTTGTTATAGTAAAAATCACATGGGTGGAAAAAAATGAAATGTGAAACATTCTACAAATGGCCCATGATCGTAAGTGCTGCTAAAGAGAAAGCTTTGCCTTCCTCTTAGTTGTCTTTCATAAATCTCGCACTAGCATGAGGAATTGGTATACTTAGCAGTGACAGGACTTCTCAGTCACCCTCAAGACAAACATTTCCAAAACATTTGTTTCCTTTTTCTGGGCCATAAGAAGTTACAAAAATGAAAATAGCAAACATTTCTTTTTTTATAATCCTTTCCAGCAAAAATAACACTATGGCCCATGTCTGTGAGTACAACTGAATGGACAGTCTCCTTCTTCTAGGCCCATTTCCGTTCTCCCTCACCAAAGACCTGGAGTCTGTACCACACAGACTTAACACTTTCAAACAGCAGGATTCTCAGAATCAAGTAGGTCTTCACTCCTACCATGGATGTGAAGTTGCTGCCAATTTACAGTGATCATCTACATGCTGTTTGTACAGAGGCTTTTCTTCCAAGGATGTATCTTACATAATGTCATCCGGTTTGGGACATGATATTCTTTAAGGAGAGAATTTCAAGCATTTTCAGTGAGTTGACAATGAGAAACTAAACTAAGAAATGAGTCAAGGTCACACAGACAGAAGTGAATCTAACATAATAAAACAAGTGGCCTGAAGCTGAGGCCAATGATCTGCCAAAACTATACCACCTAGCAGAAGAATGCAGGCTGAAAGGCAATGCCAACTTACTGATACCAGACCTATCCTTCAACTCCTGTACCACCCCCAGAAGTACCCTAATGAGTGAAATCCTATGTACCTATTATCTGGCTTTTCCTGCCTATACTATGTGTGAGAATTAAATGAAACAGAAACTCCTTTAGTACTGTAATTGTAAAATATTGCAATCAATTCACAGGTAGATACTATTAAAATAATAAGACCACCATGTGTCATTTCAAATACTCAACAGGCCAGGATATCACATGTCCATCAAAGTTTAATAAGATCTACCCCTCTTTCACTCCAGGTCACACAAATATAGACCACCTATGTGTGTCTCCAAGATGCAGAAGCACAAGCACAGAAACAGCCTTGAACTTGACCTGAACACATACACAGCATAGTTGGACTACATCGGCTGGGTGAAATTGGGAGCTCTGGGCACTTGCTTTACCTGGAGACCATTGCATCTCAAGGACAGTTACATTTTCCTGTAAGTATTTGAGAGAATTTCAGAGACAGGTGTTTGTTTCCTTCATTAAACAAAACAAAACAAAACAAAAACTAAGAACTAACTCCTTCTTGGTGTTGTTCTAAGAGATTAATGTGCATTATCTCATTGCAGTGCATTCTCTGAATCACTTTATGAGGTAGAGATTAAGACTTTCCCCAGTGTATAGATGAAAAAATGGAAGTCAGAGAGGTGTGTAGGCTGTCCAAGGTTTTGGCCCTGATAAGTCTTTAGAGTGAAGATTGGAAACTGGGCTATCTGCCTCTAGGATGCACTCATCTCATTCACCATACAGATAAGAAAGGAGAGGAG